TATGCTCTAACAGTTGATCAAATATCTATTGTATCTTGGGAACTCACTTCATTACCAAATGGCAAAAAGACAATTGGTTGCAATGGGTATATACAATGAAGCTAAATGCAAATGAAAGCATTGAGAGATACAATACAACATTTGTAGCAAAAAGACACACACATAAGTATAGAGCTATCAAGATACTTTTGCTCTAGTGGCCAAACTCAGTACAATCTGAATTCTAATATCCATAGTAACAAAAAAAGATTGGACCTTAAAGTAATTTGGTGTAAAAAATATATATTTTTGAATGGTGATTTAGAAGAAGAGGTCTACATGGAGGTTTCACTAGGAGTAAAGATGGCATCTTCTTGGAGGTCTACATGGAAAAGTGGCCATACTTATTATTTATGTGGATGATATGATGCTAACAGGGGATGATGTGGAAGAATTAAAGTCTTTGGAGAAAAATTTAGCTGATGAATTCGAAATGAAAAATATAAGCTAGCTAAAATACTTTCTTGGGATAGAAATTGTAAGATAAAAAAAGGTATATTTATGTGTTAGAGGAAATATATCTTGGATCTCTTATCCGAAACAAGGATGTTGGGTTGTAAGCCTGTCAACACCCCAATGGAGATGAATCATTCACTTGGTATTTATCCAGATCAGGTTAAGATAGACAAGGGCAGATTCCAAAGGTTAGTAGGAAAATTAATCTATCTATCTCATACTAGATCGAGTATTGCTTATTCAGATAGTATTGTGAGCATATTCATGCACTCTCTTAGTTAAGAACATTTAAAGGCAGTATTATTGGGTTGGCTCGTAACCCAGCTAAAATGAGCCGAGTTGGGTTAGGAAAAATGAGTTAGTAACTCGAGTCAGCCCGATTCGTTTCAGCTCAAAAAAACCGAGCCAACCTACGGGTCAAACAGGTTGGCTCGCGGGTTATGGTTTTTTTAATAAAAAAGTATAAAAATTAATGAAGGTAAAGTGGAAAGCTAAAACCTAAAATCCTAATTCCAAAGACCCAAACGAAAATACCCTGCAGCTGCCAATTAGTCCAAAACCATGCATTAAGGACCTTTTTTATAGTATATGTGACAGTGTGAATGTGGTGCCAACTGCCAATAAGCCCAAGTCCAAATGCAAAAGGAATTTTCTATGGTTTATATGTATAATGTCTTTGTATTGAATGAATTAATAATTTAGAAAAAAAAATTAAAAGTTATAGCATCAATGGAATTTTATTTTTATTTTTTTTCCATTTTTTCGAGCCAACCCTAACCCGACTAGGGTCGGGTTGGGTTGAGTTTTCTGGCTCGTTTATTTTTCGAGTCAACCATAACCCGACTCGTTTTTTTCGAGTTAAACGCGGGTTGGGTCGGGTTGAGCCAGGTTGGCCCGTTTTGCCAACCCTAGGCAGTATACTCTAGTCTCATATATCTAAAAGGTTCACTAGGAAAAGGTCTATTATTCTAAAAGAATAACGAAGCTTATATAGAATGATACACAGACTCAGATTGGGCTGGAGACAAAATGACAAGGCAATCAACCTCAGGGTACTTTACATTTGTTGAAGGCAATCTAGTCACATGGAGAAGTAAAAATCAGAAAGTGGTAGCAAGGTCTAGCTAGGGTTGGCAAAAACGAGCCAACCCGACTCGTAATTTGCCAAAAATGAGCTGGTTGGGTTGGAAAAAATGAGCTGCCAACCCGAGCCAACCCAACCCGAGCTAGCTCGAAAAAAAACGAGCCAACCCGCGGGTCAAACGGGCCAGCTCGCGGGTTGAGTTTTTTTTATATAAAAAAATACAAAATATAATATACAAGAATGGACAAAATCCACAGATGTTGTCATCTTCTTTCTTCCTTCTCTAAATCTTAGTCCCTAATCTTCTCACATTCCTACCATTTTTATATTGTTACGCTGTGCTGACTCTGTTTGGTTCAAATATCTTACCCACTTGGTAGCAAGTGATTCTGATTGTTTCTTGATGCTGGTGCAAATTTGTTGTGAAGAAAATTCAAAACTAGAATATTTTGTTTTTATTTCTCATTTTGTAACCCTTTGTTTAGGCTGATGGAAGCCACATAGCTGGTGAATTAATACTACAGGTTCAACGAGCCAACCCGCGAGCCAATTTTTGAGCCAACTCGCGAGCTATTTTTTCAAGCCAACCTACAAGCCATATTTTTGAGCCAACCCGCGAGTCAACCCTAACCCGACTCGGGTCAGGTTGGGTTGCGTTTTCTGGCTCATTTTTTTTTTAGTCAACCCTAACCTGACTCGTTTTTTTCGGGTTGCATGCGGGTTGGGCCGGGTTGGCCTGTTTTGCCAACCCTAGGTCTAGCGTTGAGGCAGAATATAGATGTATGACTTATGGCATTTGTGAGCTCTTATAGATTAAAGGTATATTGGCTTATCTGCGAATTAAATATGATAAACTAATGAATCTTTTTTGTGATAACAAAGCTGCTATGGATATTGCTCATTATCCGATGCAACATGGAAGGACCAAATATATTGAAGTAGATAGACACTTTATTAAAGAAAAGTTGGATAGTCAAGTCATTCAAATTCCATATGTACGTTCTGAGGATCAACTTGCAGATGTGCTAATAAAAGTTTTTTTAGGAAAAGTGTTTGAAAAGTTAATTAGCAAGTTGAGCATGACATATATTCATGCATCAACTTGAGGGGGAGTGTTGAAGATAGAAATTGAGTTTAAATTCTTATTATACTGTGATAGGAACAAAGCTGTTAAAGATACTATTTGTATTTAAATTCTTGTTATACTTAGATAGAAATAAGTTGTTTAGATAGTATGGATAAAATTCTTGTAAAGTTGTTTAGTGGAATTGCGTGAAAGTTTGTTAGCAATACTTGTATAAATATACTTCATTCAAGAGGAAGAAATACATATGATTGCATAACTAAATTGGTGGCTTTTAGGATAGTCTTTCTAATCATGATTTCTGCTTATTCTAGTGGAATTGAGGAAAGTGGCTATCTATGCAGAGAAAATTTTGGAATGCATAGAAAATAAGTCAATAGCAAAAATAAGTGTCCGTTGGGACTGAATTTGCCATGTCCTCTAATTTGTCTTGCACTTCAACAGGACCCGTAAAAATTGACATCCGTTACAACGGGTTTACTGTCATCAAAAGATTCAAAACCTGTGCTCCAATTTTATGAAATCGAAAACAACTCAGAATGTTTCAATTGCGAATCAATAGGGCAAAGGTGGTTCCCTGCTTAGAAGAATTAAAATTTACTCCTATGATATACCCGTAAAAATGAGGGTAAAATGTAGAAAGATAAGTTTTTTTTTTTTGGATTACAGAAAGATAAGTTTTTAATATGAGGTTTTCAGCATTTTTGAAGATAACCTAAACTAAATCTAAATGTTGTCTTTGTCAGCAGTGTAAGATTATGTTATCCTTTTCGTAGATTTCTAAATTAAAATTTCATCGTAATCCACAATCCAATGTCAACTATTAATTTTTAATGTGTATTATTTTGGTGCATCTAAACCTATGATGTGGCCAACCATTATATACGAGTAGACTTTATTTTATTTTGTTATGTACAAGATTTATTTTTATATTTTTAGATGTCAGACTAATTTTAGTTTAATATATTGAAATTGTCCCTTTCTATAAACTGTTTCCGTGCATGTTTGATATTTTGATATTACAAAGGTATTTTAAATATTAAGCTAAAACTTACAACTTAAGCCACCTCTAATAAAAAACGAGGTAGGATATTCATACTACTAAAAATTTTTACTATCATTTTATTACTACTCTAATCACCATTGAATTAGAAGAAAAGTTGAATGAAGAGAGAGAAAAGAAAAATAACTTTTGAATCCAATGGTGATTAAAGTGGTAGTAAAAAAATTTGGTAGTATGAATATCCTACCTCAATAAATAACATAGACAAGAGTTGAAAAACTTCTGCAAATACATATACATCCTTATAAAAGATACAAATCTAAATCGTTTTAAGATAGAGATAGACATAAAAAGACGAAATTCATATTTTTATTTTTTTCAATGGGATTCAAATCTCTTTGTGTCTATCTCTCTTTTAAAGGATCTAAATTTGTATCATTTAAAAAGACACATATTTTTCCCTTTACATAATTATGAAACTAAATATTTTATTTCTTGAACATAAGCAGTTAGTGGATTGTGGGCTTGAAACACTTAATTAAATTAATCTTTGTACCTATTGTGACAATTCAACTTGGTATAACAACATGCAGTCCTTGATTTAGGCCTTTCAAGGGAATCAACAATTTTTTAATTACATGGAATGGAAATTTAATAATATAATTAACAATCATATTTGAAATCAAAAAACACCCATACCAGTTGTTACCTACCCAGGTCAAACATTCATAAATATAGAAGCAAATCCTCAAATTCCTTTTAAAAAAATTAATAACATAAATATTAGTTTCTAAGAATACAAAAACTTTTGCATGATCCATAATAATCATAAATATTAGTCATATTAATCGTTTTCTTAGATTAATATGTCATGATTATGGACAAATAAAAATAACATTAACTGTTATCAAAAACCAAGATATTTTTTTTATTCTCAAACACTAATATGTTTACTATTAAACAAATATAAGAGATTACTTTAAATGATGTTTCTCTTGTTATAAGAGATAATTTTATCACCTAAACACATATAAAAATATATAGAATCTATTAAGGGTCATGTGAAGAGAAGAAAAGAAAAAAAATATATATATGAATTTTAAATTTTTTTATATATATATATTAAAAGTAAAATTATTTTTTATAATACAAGAAACACTAATCCTTTAAATATAATTATCTTTTCTTAATTGCTGAAATTTTCATGCCAAAATATGGGGGCCACTCTTATGCATTTTACAACTCATCTTAACACTTTGTATTTTTGTTTTTGTCCTTTTCTACGAGAACGAGACATTGCAAGAACCACTATGATGTTATAAAACGAAAAAAGAAAAAAAGGTATATGACAAGATTCCCAAAAATCACCAGCACTATTATTTTTATTTTATTTTTCTCTCTCTTCGTTCTTCTTCCTCATCAACTGTGCCTCTTTCTTACTTGATAGTATGTAACTGTACTAGAAACATTAAAATAACCAATTAACATCTATATATAAGGATCACATCACATGTACCATAAACAAAGTGACATAGACCAATAGTGAGTATTCGGGGTTACTCTTTGGGTTGATTTTAGCAATGACGGTGGTTCATGGCAATTGGGTTCAGGTTTGCTCTCTGTTATCTCTCCCTTGGTTTCTTATATCTCCTATGATAATTATCTTTGTTGCTATGATTCTATAGATTTGTATAATTATTTTTTTCTTTTTATTTTATTTCCTTTTTATTGAACTTTATCTCTTTCCCAGTCGCTTCTGAATTTCTCAGATTATGGGTATTTGGTTAACATGAAATCGTTGTTGTATCCTTTTTGCCCTATCTTGGCAAATTCTTTTCTTTGGTGCTTTCAATTGCATTTTTTTTTTTCTCAAAGTACAAGCTTTTGCCATTATGCTTTTGGTTCTGTGGTGTGAAAGAAATTAATCAGATATTTAGAGAATAATGATTTCCTCAAGATCTATGATGCATAAGATTCCAGAAGAAGTTGTTCCTTTCATTGAAAAGGATGAAGATGTTGATGAAATGAAAAATTGGGGGTTTGGGACTCTTTTGCACCTTTCATCTGCTGGTTGGCCACTTGGCACCGAGCCTTGCTATAGGATAAATATTGAAATTAATATTTTTCATATTATAAAAAATAATTATATATATATATATATATAGAATTTATGTTTATTTTTTTATTTTTTCACATTAGTTAATATAAATTTTATATATTTTTATATGTGCAGAAAATAAATTATATGTTATCAAAAACATTAATTCCATAAATATTTCATGTAATTTTCCTATTGGAAATACTTAGTTCATGTATGAGAGTTTCCCAACTAAATTTGTCTTTAACAAGTTAAATTTAATATGTTCAAGTTAAATTTCTTATGATGAATATGGAAATTAGTGTGTCTTGAAAATTTCAGAAGAAAAATATTATTTCCCTCTCTTAATCCTTTCCCAAATATATCCTTAATTTTTTTTCTCATAACTTTTTGTGTCAGCTTGATCAAAAAGGAACTGGGCAAGGAGCAAGAAGTTCACATGCTATTGCCACGGTAGGACAGAAGGTGTATGCATTTGGGGGTGAATTTGAGCCACGTGTCCCCGTTGATAACAAGGTACATGTGTTTGACCTAGAAACTTTGACATGGTCTGTGGCTGATGTATCAGGGGATACCCCACCGCCACGTGTCGGTGTTACAATGGCTGCAGTTGGAGAAACCATTTATGTATTTGGTGGAAGAGATGTTGAGCACACTGAACTCAACGAGTTCTATTCTTTTGACACCACAAACAACAAATGGGCCTTGATTTCAAGTGGAGATGTTGGGCCTCCTAATCGAAGCTACCACTCCACGACCTCTGATGAACAACACATATACATTTTTGGTGGATGTGGGGTTAATGGAAGGCTCAATGATTTATGGGCCTTTGATGTTGTTGACAACAAGTGGGTTGAATTCCCTTCTCCAGGTGAAAATTGTAAGGGGAGAGGTGGGCCGGGCCTAGTGGTGGCCCAAGGAAAAATATGGGTTGTTTATGGTTTCGCTGGAAAGGAAGTGGATGATGTGCATTGTTTTGATATGGTGCACAAAACATGGTCCCAAGTTGAAACGAGTGGGGACAAACCAACAGCACGTAGTGTGTTTTGTACTTTTAGTAATGGGAAACACATAATTGTATATGGTGGTGAAATTGATCCTAGTGACTTGGGTCACATGGGTGCTGGTCAATTTTCTGGTGAGGTTTATGCATTGGACATAGAGACACTACAATGGGAGAGGTTAGAAGATAGGGTGGAATATGGTGCTCATCCTGGTCCTCGTGGGTGGTGTGCATTTTCTGGTGCTAAACGTGATGGCATAGAGGGATTGTTGGTTTTTGGTGGCAATTCTCCTACTAATGATAGGCTTGATGACATTCACTTCTTTGCTCTTTCTCAGAGTTAGTTTGGTGAATGTTTAGTAGTTATTTTTATATGATTGCATAATGTGTGATGAATTCTATATATATGTGATTGTCGTTAGAGGATAATGGCATGTGAAGTTAGGAATCTTTGGTACTACTTAACATATTCAGTTTGTGATATGTACTTGTGTGTATGAATAAATTATGAAGTGTGTGATGATTATCAAATGGATGAGATTTGGAGGTTCATTTATTCTTGTCTTTTCATTACTTGAGATATAATAGAGACAAAGTCAGAATACAAAAGTTTAAGCTATTAATCGTTGCATTTTTTTTGTTGTTGTCAGAAACATGATAATAGCAACTAAATCATTCGTAACCACATCTTCAGACTACCTTGAATTCCAAGACTTTCATACCCCTACGAATGTGAATACCCTAAAGTTTCGCCGTATGGTGGTCTATGTTGTATGTAAAACCGATATTTTACTTGCGAGCGCCAAGGTAACATTGATTGGAGATGACCACTTGAGCAAAGTGAAACACATATATCAAAGACATTATAAAATATTTCTTTATTCCTCTAGTGCCAAAAGCCCATAAGTAAAGAATATGCATTACCAATGTGTGACATTACAAATGGACCTTGTTTGGGCCAATAACATTCTACAAGAGTATTAGCTCCCACCCACCTATCCGACCAAAAAAGATTAGAATCTCCCTCCAATATACATGTACTTGTTTAGCGAGGGAGTTTATGCGAAAGATGTTGAGTATTCCCCCAAATCAGTGCATAGAGACCTATCAATTTTACACCTTACTAGGGTTGTAATACAGAATATAGCATCACGAAAGTAAAGGGTCATAATTCCAATAGAATAAAATCTACGACTACCAAACTAAGCTTTACGTCATTTGTCACTTATAGGAGAAATAGAAAAATAAAACAAAATAAAAAATAGATGATTAACGAAAGAGTAAACACCATTTCTGGTCTCTGGCAATAAAAAAGGATTAAATTGGTCCCTAACAGTATGTAAAAAGGGCCACGTTAGTGACAGAAGAGTTGACATAAGGACTAACGTGACCCTTTTTTCGTAATTTTAGGGACCAATTTGCTCCTTTTTTATTTATTGCCAGGGATTAAAAAGAATTTCGTAGATATTGCCAGAGACCAAAAATGATGTTTACTCTTAACGAAAAGATTGGTTGAGGAATTAATCTTCACTATTAGGCATAGTGTTAAAAAATATAAAATCATTAATGTACTTTCATTTAACAGTTTAAGATTTTGAGTTGAATTAGTTCATTATTTAATATCAGAGCTGACGTGACTAAATGATCATGAATTCGATCATAGCGCTTGATACATCATCCACACTTCAAATCCAACGGATTCTTGTGTGAGGAAACATATTAGAAAAATATAAATCATTAATGTAATGGTTTGCGCTTGATACTAAAAAATGTCTACTAATAATAAATCAGGATGTGTTAGAAAAATATTAATCATTAATGTAACGGTTTGCGCTTATACATCATTCTCATCGTTTGCGCTTGATACTAAAAAATGATTAATAGAGAAATAATTTAGCGACAAAAATAATTACTTCAATTATGAAGGTTTTAGAGACCGAATATTTTTTATTTTATTTTTTAATTTAACGGTGAAAATGTCTACCAATAAAATATCGGTCATTGATTTTGTCACCAATTTAGCCTGCGAAACACATCTTTGATAACATCATGTGGCAAGGGATTTTGCGACGAAATTTAATCTCTTTCTCGTATCTGTCGCGAACCCACATTTTCTTCTTCCTAAACCACCATGCACTCATCGTCATCCTAGGCTCATGTGTCTTAGTCCTTCTTGGTTCAACTCCATCTTTGTCGCCTTTGCAACTAGGTTACCTTTCTTTTTCTTTTTTTCTTTTTTCTTTTTGTATTTTCTTATTTGATTGAAAAGGATATAATGCCAATAGATATTAAGCATCATGGTTGTCATAGAGTTATGCCAATTGAGTTCTGTCCTATTTGGGGATTCATGATATAATGATCGAGTACATCTTGAAACTATCAAATTTGTTGAAATGAGATAATATTTGTTAAGCTGTATATTTGTTGGAATTTTAATCATTGATTATACAGTTACATAATCATAGAAGATTTGTATTAAATAGATTAATTTTTTTATTTGCAGTTGATTGGCATAATTATAGGAGATTTGTAATAAATAGAAATAGTAACAAGTTATTTCATTTCCTTATTCGTAGCTGATTGACAGCTAATTTGTAAAGGACCTAGAGTCCTCATTTATGTATATAATTTACCTCAGTAGAGGAAGAATAAACATGCAGAAATATTCATAAGATGACACCATTGTTTTGACATGGAATTAGAGTCTTGGTGTACCGAGTTCGATCCTCATTGCCCCTCACTTTCTTTCTAGTGGAATTTCTTTCTTCGTATAGGTAGGTGGGCCTGCGTATTGTCCACCCTTCAAGCCCAGTGAGCTCTCGTGTGAGGGGGTGTGTTGAGATATATAAAAATCATTAATGTAGCCTCACCCAACAGTTTAAGTTTTTCAGATTAATTTTCTTATTTGCAGTTGATTGGGATAATCATAGGATATTTGTATTAAATAGAAATACTAACAAGTTATTTCATTTCCTTATTCGTAGCTGATTTAGGTAATTTGTAATGGACTTAGAGTCCTCATTTATGTATATAATTACCCCAGTAAAGGAAAAATAAATATGCAGAAATATTCATAAGATGGCACCATTGTTTTGACAAAATTTGTGTGTTGCAATTGATAATCATAAACTGATTTGTTTTAGTTCACTTGTGGTATGAATAAATTCAAGAGCGCCTTGCCTCGGGTTGTGGTTTACATTCATGACCATTGTTCTGGATCCATCATATGAGCGCATAGTCCTTAGGAGAATCACTAATGATTAGTGGCAAGCTAAAGAGATAAGCATAGAATTACTTATCGTACACTTAAGGGATAAGTGATAAGGCCACTTATCCTAACCTCCAACAGTCCCACTCGAAGGAGAATTCTACACTATAAGTAATCCACATATAAATAAGGGATTAAGCCTATTAGGTACACACTTTCTGCTCACACTATACTTGTTGTCAATGCACACAAACCCTACCTTTGGCTATATGCCATTACTGCCTGTGCACAATAATCTGCTACCCCTTGTGATGTCTCTTTCATAGGGACCCGCGAGTGTACTGATCTTAAATAAAAAATACCAACCTTCGGTTGGACATTCCCGATCCTCTTGGATCGATCATTGGCTCAAGTTTGCACTCATCCTGATATAGCACTCATAGTGGGAGTGTTAGGCAAATACTTAAGTAACCTAGGAATGGATCATTGGAAGGCAGTCAAAAGGGTTATGTGTTATTTAAAGAGAACAAATGATTACATGCTCATTTATCGGAGATCAGACAAACTAGAGCTCATTGGGTATACTGATTCCGATTTTGTTGGGTGCCAAGACAGTAAGCGATGCACTTTAGGCTATGTTTACATGTTGACCTGGGGAGCTATTTTTTGGAGGAGTGCTAAGTAGAGACTCATAGCTTCATCTACCATGGCTGCTGAGTTTATAGCTTGTTATAAGGCATCCAACCATAGAATATGGTTGCAAAATTTTGTCACAGGGCTGTGTGTGGTTAATGGTATTGAAAGGCCGTTCAAGATATATTGTGACAATAAATCAGCAGGGTTATATTCCAACAACAATAGAAGCTCTTCAAAATCAAAGCATATTGATATAAATTTTCTAGTTGTTAAAGAAAGAGTTCAGAGTGGTCAAGTTGTAATAGAACACATAGGGGAAAACTCCATGCTTGCGGATCCGTTGACAAAGGGCTTGGTGCCCAAGACTTTTCATGAGCATACTTCTTATATGGGTGATGTTCTCACTGAGGACACTATAGTTTAGTAGAAGTTTATTTTAAGTGTTCTATGTATTAAACATTTATGTTTTATTTTTCGCATAATAAAGGAGATGGTTTTATATTTTTCCTTCTGAATAAGTAAGTTATCTACTTGCATTTTTGCATTAAATGTTGAGAATCATGAATTGATCTTATAAAAAATAAAGTAGGACTAGTTGGAAATAGGCATGATAAAGATCATATTGCATGTAATTTTCATCCGCTCATCCATACTTGATCTATGTCATTGAATATGTTGACGTGGTGACCATGGAAGGTTTAGTTACATTTGAGAGTAACAAAAGTCTGTCGCCAAGATCTTATGTTGATGTAGGAAATGGACCGTATTGTATCTAAGGTGGAATCTAAAGGTAAATAGCATATAATTGCACGCTTAAGAAATATATGATATCATTGTTTCAGGATCATATGTAGTCCAAGTGGGAGATTGTTAGAAAATTTTATTTCTGAATATAATTGTAGCCTACACATTTAAATATCAATTATTTTATACTATTTAATTAATGGGTAAATTAAGTGATCAATATAAAAGATCCCAATCAGATTCCTAATTTGATATGGGCTTAATGAGTGGATACCTAATATTGACCCAATTGAGTGTAATAGATGCCTACTGGAACAATATATATATATAGAAACTAAACATAGGGTCGTGGCCCCTAAGGTTAAATCAGTTTCAATTTCTTGATTTGATCGAGGAAGACCAAAGCTCATAAGGAAAGAATAGAGACTCAAGAGGTTTAGAGATACATCGTTGCCACAACGAAGACAAATATGCCTTGTTTGTTTTATATTTCTTGATGATCCAATATGATGTATCTATGATTTATTGGGTCATGATTTTCACCATAAGGATTAAGGAATTAATTTCCATTAGTAATGGACAGCAATGGCATGCAAAAGAAGTATTGGACAACAATGACATGCAAAAGAATGATTATGAATGTATTCAAGGATGTCTTGAATGTTCTATGTTAAAGTTCTTACGTAAAGAAGTATTGGACAACAATGAGATTATATGAATAAAGCTTGAATGCTTGAAAAATAAAAAATTCCCTGGCCAGGTGAACAGATAAGTTCACAACTCTTAGGAGACATCTTATAGTGAGCAAAGGCTCATGGAGGTGGATGGATAAGTATTTGATGAAACTTTTGCTTTCATGAATTGTTTATGTGATGTTTTTGCAAGAAATGTTATGTGAATTCCATAAAATCATGTTATACTAACCCCTCTTGCAAGGAACCCAAAACGGTAAAT